AAACGGTTGTAGAAAAAGCTAAATAGTTCAAATCTTGTAAAACTTCTACAACCTTCAGCTAGAAACCAAATATAGTAGAAAAATGGCTCAGACATTAGCCAAAAAGTTGCTCTGATAGTACTTCATACTCGGTTCATACCTATCCGCTGAGTGTGTATTTTGCATTTCAAGAAGGTTAAAACAAGACACCCAGTTGTTGATGAAAGCTTGTGAAATCCTGCGCGCACACAAAAAAAGGAAAATCTCCGAGTGGTTTTCACAAAGCCAAATTCCACTTTCTCCTCGGCGATCAGTGCTGTGCTCACCTAGTAACTGGTAAACACACATCAACAGTGACCTAAAAAAGCACTAATAAACCCTGACAAATTCTCCAAAGAAAGCAGTTTAAAGCGCTGCCACGTATTCCTGCTCTTTTTAACACCACACGTTCAACTCGGCTGTTTTTTTTTTTTTTCACCCATTAATCCTCCATCAATATTTCAGACAGAAAGAAAAACAACCAGGCCACATTTAACACAAGGCAACCCTAGCTGAGTGGCTAACACCAGACAAAGATAAAGAGACATTACAGGAAGAGTAAATTGAAGAGATTATGATGTCTCATAAATGTCTTTATAATCCCGTCCAGGGACCAAAGCTTAACCTCAAACAGCAGAGACAAAGACCTCACGCGTGTGAGACACGTGCCCTGAGACAATAACTCAGACGTTCAAACTCAGACTTTATAGGCGACATGTGGCTCTTTGGGTTCGCTGCCACTGCCGTCAACGTCTGATGTCAGACATCGCGTCTTCTCACAGGCTTCTATTAAAATACTGTGTACGTTTGTTTCTGCAATATACATGTGGGGCTGGTTTTCATTGTGCAGTATTAGTGTATTTGTAGGTATTTTCTGTATTTGTTTGTTATATGTTTTTACTTGATTGTTATTGGGTTATCACATTAAAAAAATATTAACAGTCACAATTGTTGTATTGCACATTCAAGAAGTCTTTAGGTTTTGGTTCATGGTTCTGAATGTATGCAGGGATCCCTCTCCTGTCGTGGTAGTTGCGATCCAAGACTCACTGCGAGATGGGAAAAATCGTGAAGTAGAGATGAGATAGTTATTATATCATTTACATATATATTTACTCTTTACGAACCTCCCGACACTGTTGTCAACCCTCCCTAGACTGTATTACCGTTTCCAACACAATTTCCTACAGTGTCCGACAGACAAGCGGAGATGCTGAGAGATGCTACGATGCATGAGCAAATCAGCGTGAGGAACAGAAAAGCATGGTCAATTAGCCAATAGTACACCATTGTATTAGCTAATAGTATGCTGTGTACGATCTCGTCTAGGTAAACAAACTACTAGCAATCTTTCAATCTACCAGTGATCTTAATTTCAAACTAAGAATCTACACCGAAAATTTCGCAAGATTGGATTTTTTTTTTAAATCTGCAATGTACTGAGTGAGCGAAAGGAGAACCGCAATATAGAGAGAGAACACTGTATATAGAAAAACACAGGAAGGATGGTATGTTGATCAGTACTGGAATTTAAACTAATGAAAGCATTTGGGGGTGGAGCTAAAATTGCTGCAGCTCTCACATGAACCGGGAACAAAAGAACAGTTTGGTTAAAAAAATTGAGGAAGGCAGTGAACTTTCACATTCTTAGATATGTCTACCAGACACAGACTTAACAGAACTGAAATAAAACATTTGCAAGCGCTGCAAAGTTTGATTTACAGTCTGATGTATCACTAAATATAACAAACGCAACTGATGCTTGGAAATCCCCGTTAAAGCGCATCGTTGTTAGGTGTTTGCACGCCAAAAGTTTCTGTTTTTTGTAGTATGCACTACACTACTTTAGAATTCATGATCTAGCTTAGCTTTAGATGAACAATTATTGTCTCCTGGCACCAGATACTACAGTTAGTGCCGATGTACTTTGTTGAAAAGCATGTTTATGACGTTAATAATAAAACAACAATCACCAACTGAAAAGCCCACTGCGGCCAAAGTGTGTGTTCAATTTACTATGAAAACTGCAGTTGTAAAATATATTTTGCCCAACCTAGTCATGTTAATAGGTACCATATTTTCTGAACTATAACTCAGATTATATTTATATTTGATATTTGTTTGTTTTTTCTTCTTTATTATGCATTTTTTGGCTGGTGCAACTCATACTATATGGAGTGGCTTCTAGTCCAGAAAATATGGCACTGCTTTGGTACTCCGTCACAAGGGTAATATATCAAAACTCTAAAGTCAATTGAGGCAAATTGTGCTATAAAAAAAAAATATAATAATCTGATGTCTGTGAAAATGAATTGTTACTCATTTTGAGAAAAACAATCCTCGCAGTACGCGCATACAATAGTTGTTATTATTACACTTTGTAGCGGTTGTTTCCGATGTCAGCGTTCTACATTTGTTAGAAAAGGATGCAACATCATCTGACGCAGACAACGGCCCCGTGGCCCTGACTCAGGTCTGGACTCCTAATGCACAGATCAGCTCCCCGTCTCTGGTCTCTCTCTGAGTGGGAGGGAGGAGTCCTCGCTGTGGAAAGCGGCGTCTGCTGCAGGCTGCGAGGCGGTGAGATGACTAAGCACGAAGCCTCTGCTGCCTGTGGAGCTGTGCAGGCATGTTCCATTCTGTCAGGGCCGTGCAGCACACAGGCACCGTTTCACACGGTCCCCACCGACTCTTGGCCGAGTGAGTGGGAACTACAGAGGTTCTGCTGACAGCCGACACCGAAAAACACTGAGGCAGTGTGGCTGCAACTTGGAACTCTTTTGAGGGATAGTTTGGGGTTTTGTGAAGTGTTGGCTGCAAGAGGTACAGATGGTGAAGATGCAATTTAAACTATTTTGTACTGGGAACTATTTGTACCAGGATATTCTGATTCTGTCTCACAATCTGGGTTTCCATTAGAGTACATAATTATTCAAATTTTTTGGGAAACTATGTACTCACGGCCAACAATGCATTATAGTGCCAGGACCTTCCTACTGGTACTTGGAGTTAACTCAGTTGACTCAGGTACAACATATACAAATTCAACCAAAACAATACTTTAGAAATATATAAAATGAATCTGGAGGTGTACAGCACCACAAACTATTGGAGCTATGTACTAACAAAATTGACATCACCATCAAATGTTGAAGACTGGGTCACACACATTTCAGTCAGAAACAACAACATCTATAACCAGTTGTTGTTTGCAGTATTAATGCTACGGCTAATTTTCTACTGTAAACCTGTAAACGTAGCTTAGTTTTCCACACAGAAAATCATGTTTTCTTTCATGTTTGACAGACGTATTAACCAGAAATAAAAGAAAACAGCTGAGAAACCAGGATAGCTCCTTGAGGGACTCCTCACAAAAATGATGGCGTGAAGGAGGAAATAGAGTTATGTTGTCATCATTGTAGCTTAGATAGCTAATTTGAAGGTTTAAGGTTGTGGATTTAACACATTTCCACCCAGAATTGAAAATGAATTGTTACTCATTTTGAGAAAAACAATCCTCGCAGTACGCGCATACAATAGTTGTTATTATTACACTTTGTAGCGGTTGTTTCCGATGTCAGCGTTCTACATTTGTTAGAAAAGGATGCAACATCATCTGACGCAGACAACGGCCCCGTGGCCCTGACTCAGGTCTGGACTCCTAATGCACAGATCAGCTCCCCGTCTCTGGTCTCTCTCTGAGTGGGAGGGAGGAGTCCTCGCTGTGGAAAGCGGCGTCTGCTGCAGGCTGCGAGGCGGTGAGATGACTAAGCACGAAGCCTCTGCTGCCTGTGGAGCTGTGCAGGCATGTTCCATTCTGTCAGGGCCGTGCAGCACACAGGCACCGTTTCACACGGTCCCCACCGACTCTTGGCCGAGTGAGTGGGAACTACAGAGGTTCTGCTGACAGCCGACACCGAAAAACACTGAGGCAGTGTGGCTGCAACTTGGAACTCTTTTGAGGGATAGTTTGGGGTTTTGTGAAGTGTTGGCTGCAAGAGGTACAGATGGTGAAGATGCAATTTAAACTATTTTGTACTGGGAACTATTTGTACCAGGATATTCTGATTCTGTCTCACAATCTGGGTTTCCATTAGAGTACATAATTATTCAAATTTTTTGGGAAACTATGTACTCACGGCCAACAATGCATTATAGTGCCAGGACCTTCCTACTGGTACTTGGAGTTAATTCAGTCGACTCAGGTACAACATATACAAATTCAACCAAAACAATACTTTAGAAATATATAAAATGAATCTGGAGGTGTACAGCACCACAAACTATTGGAGCTATGTACTAACAAAATTGACATCACCATCAAATGTTGAAGACTGGGTCACACACATTTCAGTCAGAAACAACAACATCTATAACTGGTTGTTGTTTGCAGTATTAATTTTCTACTGTAAACCTGTAAACGTCAGTTGTTGTTTGCAGTATTAATGCTACGGCTAATTTTCTACTGTAAACCTGTAAACGTAGCTTAGTTTTCCACACAGAAAATCATGTTTTCTTTCATGTTTGACAGACGTATTAACCAGAAATAAAAGAAAACAGCTGAGAAACCAGGATAGCTCCTTGAGGGACTCCTCACAAAAATGATGGCGTGAAGGAGGAAATAGAGTTATGTTGTCATCATTGTAGCTTAGATAGCTAATTTGAAGGTTTAAGGTTGTGGATTTAACACATTTCCACCCAGAATTAAATGTACCGTACTTTTAATGTATAAAGAAATATATACAGTATATGTGTATATATGAACATATATACATACACATATGCACATACATACAGTATATGTGTGTATATATATATATATATATATACAACACATACATACTGTATATGTGTGTGTATATATATACACAACATTCATGCATGCATAGTCTCTGAACACCAGACAGATGTTTTTTCTGAAATTTCTCGACTAATTTTGCCGAAAGGCTGATCTCTAACAAACAGACAAATACAATACAAGCGAAGGTGCATGAGGTTCATTTGGAGAAGGAGTTGTGCCAGTGTCGCCACATCAAGAGGAATGAATTACGCACATCATTTGTGCAAACGGTGACAGGTGGTAATAAAACCCAAACAGCAGAGACAGGAGGACAGAGATAGTTCTTCTGGTATCATTAATTGCTTCAGGGCAGCCAAAATAGAGAAACAATTACGTTATTGTTCTTTACAAAGTAACTCTCCTGACGCTCAGTTCATTACCAGCGGTGGGAGGGAAGTAAACACCGAGTACTACTGCAGGTATTTTCATGCAAACAGTGAACATCGAAGCTAAGCATTCTCTTTCAACCACACACCACCACCACTGAGGCTGTGCGCTTTGTGTGTGGTCTTGAGAAGACACGTGATCTGAGTCATCAACGCCACCTACTGGCCAGAAAGAGTTAGTGTTGCTATGAAAGGTATACATAAAGTTAAGGAAGAATTTACTTTAAAAAAAACATTAATTAACATTATAATTATTATTTAATTAGTGCAACAAGTTTCAGTATAGTCTTCACCTCGTCTCGGCCAATCATTTTGGATCACTTAAGTTTGCTGCTGCGGCTGCTCTTCTTCTGCTCTTCTGTACATTAACATGTAAGCTGTGTTGCTGTAAATAGAAGAAGAAAAAGTTTTTAATTAAATCAACAGGAGAAAGTATACAAACAGAAGGTAAACCGTTTTGAGACCAGATAACTAAAAGACATAAAGGGTTTTCCATTCTCTAAAGGTTCAACAGTTGAGGAAGCCGTCAGCGCAGGAACATGTTCATCTCACTCCTTAATCTTCACCGAGGAACGCACAATAAGGCATTGTTTTAAGACCTGAGGTCATTTCCGCAAGTAGGAAGATAAAAGCTGCATGATGTCAGTGGAAGTTGGCCTTGAAAGTCATTAATAGAAAAGAAAAACCTAGAAATTAACTCTATAAAGGTCTGAAGACTGTCTGAACAGAGGTTAAATATGTAACAAAAACAAAATGAAGGGAACAATGGATGATGGTTGTTGTTGGTTATTGATATTTGTTATATACATGTATACATACACATATAAATACAAATATATACATATACCGGACAGGTCAACATCGGAACCATATGTTAAGAACATTACCTGTAGGCTGCACTTCCATTTGTTCCTTGCACATCTTCCCAGGAAGCCTATTGGTAGGAACGTAAAGAAAATAAATAAGTGAAATATCCAATTATAGTCACAAAAACAGGGTAATTAACATATAATTAAAAAATTAGCTTTTTGCTTTTTTAGTACCTTAAAGTTCAGCCTTCAATACAAATCACCTGATCGGTGTCATTTATGCTTTCAATGATGAACACTGAGTTCAGGAAAGCAGAAACCAACCTGCTGCACGTGGCTGTCATCAGCGTAGTACCACTGTTGATTCACCTTATGACGGACGTACGCCGTGTAGTGGCCACACATCGCACTGCCACTGTGCACCACCACTGCATATAAAGTGTATTTGCACTTTGTCTGGAAGTTAGAAAGCAAATTTTACATCATAGGAAAAGAAAAGCCCAAAATGTCCAGAAATGACAGACAGAAAATAAATCCAAGTACAGTACCTGGGTAAATTCCTTAGAGAATCCCTCTCTAGCAATCTCGGAAAAGTCAAAGCTCTCCGGAAAAGTTACCGTGCAGTCGAGTTTCCTGGTGTAGCGCTGCCCGCTTCTCCGAACCGCTTCAGGTGAACGCACAAGATCCGAGGCAAAGCGAGGAATTTCACACACTGCGTCACAGATAAAACACAATTACAGCTGAGATGAATGCAGAGGTGGAGCCTGCAGACCAGCATTATAAATGTGATTATTATAAATGAATTAGAACATGAACTACAACAACAGCAGTGAAGAAAGAGATTATACGAAAGAATGACAATAGCGTTTAGGATTCAGATCTAGCTTTACGGTATGGCTTCGCAAAGTCGTCAATTTGTACCATCATTAAGAATAAGGAAGCAATAAAAGAAGCTAAGCTAAGGAGTGACTGTGATCACCAAGGAAAGATCTCAGATAGAAGTGGAAAAGCTGCTACTGATTTGGATCAACTGACACAATTCAGAGACAATAATTTGTGAGAAAGTGAATATTGCGCAATCACGACACCTCAGCACCAGTAAGGATGAATGAAATGATTTTGTGTATGAACCTGTACACAAAATACTCATCCATTCCACATTGATCCCTATGGGGAAAATTGTTTCAGTTTTCGAACTCAACCAGTTCACCACCAGCCTTCAGGAATGAATTAAGTTCGAAAACAAAGGTTCCACTGTATATTGTTTTTTTAGTTTTTTACCTTGGACCTTAAATATATCCCCCCCGCCCCCCCCCCCAGAGACTCACTACATCAACCACCACCACCAACTCCT